AGGCTTGTGCTTACCAGTTAATTCAATGACTTCTTAGTTTTTGCTTTTCATTATTTTGTTGTTACTTTTATTTAAGTTGTGGGGTTTCTGTGTCAGCAAAGTAGTTTTAGTTTAAGAGGGAAATGGATGATTTTTCTGTGTGTACATTGTATCATGAACACATTTTGTACTTGTAGATATCACACACACATATATATTATTTGTTTTCTGCTTTTAATTTTGTTTAGGGCTTCAAACAGCAAGCTCTTACAGTATCCACAGATCCTGAACATCGTTTTGAGCTTGCTCTTCAACTTGGAGAGTTGAAAATTGCATACCAGTTAGCAGTGGAGGCAGAGGTATGTTCAAGTTCATGATTTCTTATAACTGATGGAAAGGTCAGCAGGTACTTCCATGTCTTTGGTATAATGTACTGTTATTAAAGTTTCCAGATGAAAATTAGTGACTCATTTTGGTGAGATTATTCTCTTTTTGATCTTTTTCAAAGATGCATTGTTAATTTGCATAAATCAAACACATTTTATTTGAGACAGTCTTAGCACTATAACTTAAGTTTTTTCTATTTTGAGTGAAATCTGTTTTGCAAGAGAAGAAAAAATTTTAAGATAGTAGATAAACCACTCTGGGAATTCTAAAATAATATAGACATCAATAATTTGCCAATATTCCAAGCTAGTAAGAAAGATCTGAACTTTAAAGCAGGATTCTAACCTAGATTAGAGGCATGTCTTTTGCAAGACAGGTTGATGATATTTTTATAGATCTTTATATATTGTATATCCTAATTGTGGTTTCACTCTAGCATTTATTGGTAAATTAATTTCAGATGTGCAAAATAAATTTTAGCTATGTTAAGATCATCTATATGTGTAGCATTTTGATTTCTGAAAAGCTACAAATGACAGATATTTATTATTAAATATTTAAGAATAATTTTTCAAAAAAGTGGTATTAAATTCACTTATTAGAATAATTGCAATCTAATTCCTTAAAACTCCAATTTAGCTTGTTTTATTCATGCATCATTAAAATTATTTGAATTAATTTTGTATATGTGACTAATTTCCTCATTGTACATTTTATCCTGATATTCTAATTTTGATTGAAAGTGCCAATTTAATAAGTACAGCTCCGTGTATGTCTTTGTGTGTAAAGTATTTTCCATTGTTATACAGGAATGCTCAAGAGAACAGAATAATGTTGATAATGGAGATTGAAATGTTTATTTTCAAAGGTATTTTAATTTGGAAATTCTTTCTTTTAGTCAGAACAGAAGTGGAAACAACTTGCTGAACTTGCCATCAGTAAATGTCAGTTTGGCCTCGCCCAGGAGTGTCTGCACCATGCCCAGGATTACGGAGGTCTGCTGCTTTTAGCTACTGCTTCTGGAAATGCTAGTATGGTGAACAAGCTTGCAGAGGGTGCAGAGAGAGATGGCAAAAATAATGTGGCATTCATGAGCTACTTTTTACAGGGAAAGTAAGTATTAATCTAAGGGAAGGTCTAAAAGACCTTGGGAAGCACAGTAATTAAATTTTTCCACATTAATTGTGAGGCTGGAGAGAACTGATGGCTGGCCAGGTGGTGTTGAACAGTGTGGGCAATAGGATGACAGTGTTACTTTGGTGGCACTCAGCTTCAGCAAGGGATACTCCATGACCTTGATATAAATGTGAGCTGAAGGAGGTGCTCAGGATGGGATAAAAGTTAAACCCCTTCCCCACAGCCTGCCAGTTAGTGGCTGAGGCATTTCGTTGTTTGACAGGAGGAGGCTATCGTGCTGCTCCAGTTGGTATCTGAGTGGCAGGTGACTTTACCCAAATTGGACAATTTTGATCTGTTTGTGGCATGGAGGAAGGAGGATGAAAATGCCAATTACTTTCAGATTTGAGTTCAACAGAAAAGCATAAAAATACCACATTTGTAAGTTTGGTGCCAAATCATTTAGAAATTAGTTGGCCCTGTTATGAAATAAAACACAAAAGTGTTCATTAAATTTGCCCTGCATACTTTGTCATAAAAATTATTTTTTGGCGAGGCATGATGGTCCATGCCTCTAATCCAAGCTACTTGAAGGGCTGATAAGAGCATCACAAGTTCAAGGCCAGCTTTGTCAACCTAGTGAGACTTGTCTCTAAATAGAAAAGGACTGAAAGTGTAGTTCAGTAGTGAAGGGCTCCTGGGTTCAGTCCCCAGTCCCACAAAAAACAAACAAAAAATAAACTTTCTTTTTTTGATGCTGTGGAACAAACCTCAGGGCCATGCAAATACTAGATAAGCACTCTTCTCCTGAGCTACACTCCATTTTAAAACTTTGTGCACCATGACATATATACACATATATATGTGAATTTATATTTCTGCAAAAATAGGTCCACTATCTTTTATGCATATCAAAAATCCAAAAATTATATGAAAAGTTTTTTTAGAACTCATTTGAAGGCAAAATCTGACTAAACTCTACTACTGAGTTGTTTTTATGCTACTCAGTATGTTTTTATTGCATTTAATAGTCATATTATTACAAAAATATTGTTTGGGGTTTTTGTTAGGTGCTTCTATTACTCCATTTCTTACCTAAAACTAAGAAAATCGGAATTCTGAAATGCTTTGTAAAACTTGCCATTGGGGGAAAAAAAAAAACTGAAGCTAATAGACATGGTATCCTTAATAATGGTAACCTTCTTTTCTACTGGGCACCTCTGGATAATCTGGTCCAGCCCACATTGGAGATGCTGAAACTGAATTTCTACTTGCCTATATCCTGAAGCCTTCAAAATTTGCTCATCCAAACTGCTTTGTCTCTTCTTGAAAAGGCCCTTAAGTAGTCATAAAAGCTGTCGTATCCCTCACACTCTTGAAGTCCACCAAGTCTGTAATATACTGTTAAGATGAGTAAGTGGCCAGGAACAGAAATGAGATGAATGTGTGAGGGGACTGGGGAAGATTTTGACCTTGCAACATTAAATCCACATTTCTTCCAAATGTTAAGTGCTGTTGTTGTAGTGTTTATTCTCCTCCTTAATCTTCAGGCTCGATGCTTGCCTTGAGCTCTTGATCAGAACCGGACGACTGCCAGAAGCTGCCTTCCTGGCCCGAACTTACCTACCCAGTCAGGTTTCAAGGTACAGACTTTTTAATTTTAGGAAGAAATATTTCAGATAAAAACAGGGCATGCTTATGTAATTTCTCTTTGATTTCATGATGTCTGTAATAGGGTAGTGAAACTCTGGAGAGAGAATCTCTCAAAAGTCAATCAGAAAGCAGCGGAATCCCTTGCTGACCCAACAGAGTATGAAAACCTTTTCCCAGGATTAAAAGAAGCCTTTGTTGTTGAAGAGTGGGTGAAGGAAACACATGCTGATCTTTGGCCAGCCAAACAGTACCCCCTAGTCACGGTGAGTGGGTGAGTGATCGGGTGCTAGGCTTGATTTAGTGTGACTACAGGGTGCGAGCACATTAACTTCAGGGTGTGAACAGTGCTGGATACATTATTGTTGGATAAGAGCTAATATCTGGGATTTAGGCGAATTTCTAGAGCAGTTATATAATTTCAGGATTTTTCATTTCATCATTGCTTTATTCTCTAATAGCCAAATGAAGAAAGAAATGTCATGGAAGAGGCAAAAGGCTTTCACCCCTCAAGATCTGTAGCTCAGCAGGTGAGTACTACTTGTGATAACTTGGTTGAGACTGTTGATTTTAAGTACCATCTTCCACTTCCTAATTCTCATCTCTCTTCCCTTAGAGGATAAGTTTAAAATTTGTGGAAAAATGCCTTTATTTATATATATATATATATATTTCTACTTGGGCTTTCAGGACCTTGATGAGAAACCCCCATCTCCGACTCCAGTTATCGTGACCTCCCAAACAGCCAACAAAGAAAAAGAAAAGGTAGGTCAAACACCATCCAAACCTCCCCTGTCCCTTCCTCCCTTGTGTGCAGGCTGCCTGGGCCTCTGTGGCAGGTGATATACCCAAGTTTCAGAGTAGGGACTTTGAAGTGGGAAGATGTTATTTGGGACAGTTAAGGAGGAACACATTAAGTTCTTTAACACAGTGCTTTGGAACTCCATCATCTTCCTTTTGTTTTCAGAGCTTACTCGAACTAGAAGTAGATTTGGACAATCTGGAATTAGAAGATATTGACACTACGGATATTAATCTGGATGAAGATATCCTGGATGACTGAATTGTAGTTTTCCATTTATTTGACTAAACAAATCATTATTATGTATAGGTATTGATCATCACCCTGACCACAGTGCTTGGAAGGAAATATGAAAAATTTCTTAGGTTTTTATATGTAAATGCTGTGGACCAACAGGAGCACATGGCCTCCTTTTCTTAGGAGGAGTTCATGTGCAGTTTAAATCAGTGTTTTCTTCATTGATTAAAACAGACTTGAGCTTTGATTTTTCTCATATTGTCATTAAAATCCTTTGAATTAATGAGAATACTTCCATTTCCTTTCTGAATAATAAAAAGAGACTTCTAGTTGTAGAAGGCTGAGCCAAAATCACACCTCACCCAATGGTCAGCCCTACATTCTCTTTTCTTTGTATAACTAAATCTGCATTTTGCAAACAACATCATAGTTTTCTAGAACTGGACATCTATGTACTTTTCTTGATGTCCTTATAACACTGTCTTCTGTTGTGTAACATGGCTGACAAGAGCTCTTCCTGATTTTGTCCAGTAATACTCATTTCTGGAATTGGTCTAAAACCCCTGTTCCTCTGGCCTCAGTAAGCTGGGCTCTACCTGCATTAACTGTTGGCTTATTTGGTGTCAAAGGCCTGGTACTCTTTTAAAATACTGTGTATTCATCTACCATAATTAAAGAAATTCATAATCAGGCAGTCAAATATATTCTTCATTTATCAGATTGAAGCCTAGAAAAATAAATAAGGTAAAAAGTTTTTCTTTGTACTTCTGTCAGATGCACTATGTGGAATTTAAAAAACAAAAAAATATATAACAAACTATGTATCAGGACCTTTTGATCTTGATGTTTTTAAACATTAAGATAAACATTAACAAAGGAAGGTTTTAGTAAATTGAAATGTATTTTTAAAATATTTTCAGGAAGCTGCAGAATGACTACTCATGAATGCTTCTTGATAAGTTTGCAGTGTTAATTCTATATATGCTCCCTTCTGGGCTTCAGTATTTGCAAAGACCTGTTTAAAAAAAAAAATGGTTTTAAAACAGTAGGACATACAATTTAAAACAATAGAACGTATACTATCTGTAAAATTTCCCAATTTAAAGACATTATTAACATGTCAAGAAGAGTCCCAGTTGTCTTCCAAGTGTTACAGCTTTTCCCCTTGATTTTTACTTCTCCTCTTGAAAGCAATAAATACACAAGATCCGAAAAAGCAATACTGATTCTAAATACCAGAATGGCTATTACCTCTTTTAGCTTGTTTTCAGGAAAAAAGGACCTGATATTGTACTTTATGCTACAATTAAAATGAAAACCAACTGGGTTCAAGAGATGAGATGAGAGTTAGCAAACTCATTTTTCACTTCAAAGAATGTTTTCTCCAAAAGCATTTTACTTTATCTGGCTAATCACAGAAAAATCAGGATTTGTTCTGTAGTTTCTCTCTATTCCACTTAGAGTGGTCATTTTTATCCTTAGTAACCTAACTGCTTTTCGGTATGCAAACAATGTTATTGGCACAGAAGCCAGTTCCACAAAACCATGTCCATTTAGAAGAAGTTAAATTACACAGTGACCTCCCTTTCCCTTCCTGAAAATATCTGAACTCTCAGCATTTACACATAAATCTATGTAGCCCATGGTGTGAGAAGTGTATAGGCTTGGCAGTATCCAGCCAAGCACCATCACCCTCTCCTCTCAACACCTATGGGTTTTCCCCAGTGAGCATGTCACCACACTGAAGGATAGGACATATTCTTAACATAACACCACACTGCTCTAGGGACATATTCTAGTCCTTCACCTGGTCCTGCTGGTGACTTAGCACCTCAGATGCAGCTTGCCTTTGCAGTATTTCAAAGAACCAGGGACTTGCTGCCCCCAACTATCTGAACTTCTCTAGACTCCAGCTGTCAGCACACCCACCACCCACCTACCTGACTACTCCCCCCCAGCCCCCCCCCACTCCATCTGCTTCTACAAGAGAGCTGTAATCACACTGATGTTTTCAAGATCACAGATGTTTCATATTCACAGATTTGTTTAGTTACTGCTAAATATGACCCACTTCTAAATTTTTCCCAACTCAATCAGCATCACAAAACAGCCAATGTGAAAAAAAGACTCTTTACCTTAATTAAATTGACTCCCTCAGCAGCCTGCTCTTTGGCCTCTTGAGCAGACTGGCCATCTGGATGGAGCATGTGATACAGTTGGACCAAGCTGGTGGCATCATCAAGTCTGAGAGTAAAAACAGCTTAATGATACAGATGGGCTTTGTTCATTGACTTCACAGGCCTATACACGCATGTGCCAACATCAAACTACATGATATTTCAGACATTCCTCAGGCTGGTAGGGGGGCAGGGTGTACCCTCAGTTGTAGAATTCCAGGGTATACCCTCAGTTGTAGAATTCCAGGGTGTACCCTCAGTTGTAGAATTCCAAAAGCACTTTTAGGAAAATTAACTGATTTAGTCTTCAGAGCAACTCTGTGAGGCAGGTAGGGCAGGAGTCACAGAAAATACCCAATTTAAAAGTGAATATATTTCAAATGTGGCTACATTCTTTTTAGAAATGGAACATCATGTCTCACAGAAACTCCACTCCTAGTGGTAGATGCCTTCCAGGTTAGCCCACTCCACCAGCATCCAGTTCATCCTATAAACAGGTTGGTGGTTCTCAAAGCCACTCGCCTTTAGTAGCATTTGCTAACCAATTTTCACTGAGACTGAATTAGTAGACAAATGCCTCTATAAGAGGAACCTGACTACCAATCCATATGAATATCCATGGAAACCTATTAGTTAAAAATTAGTATCTTTGTAATTATATTATTAATTATATTATTAGTATCTTTGTAATATATGAAATTATGCACAATAGACAAAAGGAAAGGTTCTATACCAGCAATTTTTTTAAAGTGGAAATTTAAAAATTTGCCAGAATTTAGTGTCACTACTACCTATGATGAAACCAGAACAAGAATTCAATTCACACATTTTATAAACACAAAAACTTCCCACGGGGAATGGTGGCACATGTCTGTAATTCCAGCAGCTGGGGAGGCTGAGGCAGGAGGATCACAAGTTCAAAGCCAGCCTCAGCAATTTAGGCCCTAAGCAACTTAGCGAGACCATTTCTAAAAAATAAAAAGGGCTGGGGATGGGGCTCAGTGGATAAGCGCCCCTGGGTTCAATTCCTGGTAAAACAACTTTCCTAGCCTTCCCCAAACCAATATCTTCTCATACAGTCCTACCATTCACCACATCAAAAGTGAGAGGAGTAAAAATAATCAAGTGCTCATGTTTACTTTGTTATTTTAAAATATTATTTCAATAAAAAATATAATAAATTGCACAAACCTTAAGTGCATGGCTGCATACAACTTTGTATATATAAAATCACCCACATACCACAGATCCAGAACACATTCAGTCTCTCCAGTGACTTCCCATTACTCTCACAGTAAAACCCATGGCCTGCTAGCCCTGTGTCACCTGGCCCAAGAGCATATCATTTCCTTCCCTGCTTGTTAACTTGTTCCACCCACATCAATCTTCTGCTTTTCCACCAAAATATGTTCAAGTTTTGAGGATCTGCTGTATATACTTAATGAGCTACTGGCCCCTAGGTGGGTTGGAGAGGTGAAGACACCTTACTTCACTGCTACTCCCCACCCTACCCCCTGGGCATCACTCTGACCTTCCCCAATTTCCCATCACTTGAACTAGGGGATACAGCACAGGGTGAACATGGGAATAGGTGCAGAATTCCTCAAACCATGGTGACCTCAGAGAAATGTCCTGGGCTATCCCAAGCCCCACCTACCCTAAAGAACCCTTAAACACAATCTATTGGAAAAACTGAGAAGTCAAAGCTGCTTGGTATACTGAATCTTTCTGGGGGCAAAAAAAAATGAATAACACAAAAATTAATTACACATCTATTTTGCTAGCTGGAACCTACAAAAATCCAATAAATGTAGCAACAAAATATCTCTTTAAACAAAATTAAAAATAAAAATATGAAGAGCTTAACTGGGCTTCTACATATTATAATCATGTCTCATTAAGTTTCTGCTAAAATGGGATTTCTGTATTTAAATGTAGCCTAATCCCTAGCCTATTCTTAATATTAAGAGCAAATAAATTACTATTTTCAAAAATATTTTTAAAGGATCTCTACAAAACCATCAGTGGGATTAAATATTCATTAAGTTTGTACAGAATCATAATTCTGACCTGGTCTCCACTCACTAAGGATGCGCACCCTCTCCTGCCCATCTGGGGATGTGCAGTCAGCTCAATGTCCCCTGCAGCATACCACAGAGGGGTTAAGTACTAAGACATCCCTCGCATGAGACATTTCAGATGTGAAGCTTACATGAGAAATTCTACAATATCACAGGTTAGTATACCTCAGTAAAGAACTTTTCATTTTAAAACTTATTAAACATCTCTGTTGATCTTATTTCTTATAAAAATATATTTTAATAAGTTAAGAATGACTGCGTTGGAGGAACTTTTAAGCAAAAAATTCATTCATAAATGTCACTGTTGAAGTTCATCAAGGCACACTCTTTGCACATCCCAATCACTCCAGCCCTTGTTATGGAGGATGAAGGCGTATTTCTGCCTTCTGTACTGAATCACACTATACTTGCTACAGACTCAGGCTGGCCTGGGAATCATCACCCTTAGGACTGCTATTTCTAGGAGAAATGATACTATTTCCAAACATGGGCACGTGGAACCTTCCAGTTCCAAATGGCTTACTTTGTGTGCATGGTTCAAATTGCACATAGGCTACTCAAACTCCAACAGCCTGAAGATGCCAATGATCAGTAAATCATCTTCTTCAGACTTTAGAACCCAGAAAAGGCTTTTTATAGAAAGTTGACTTTCTGACAGCCATGCTCACTTCTTCTCCTTGTCATTTTGGGCCTTCCTGACCCAACCAATAAAAAAATATGCAGTCAGCTCAATGTTCCCTGCATTGAGAATGGGAAATGGGGGAAAAAATGGGAAAAAAACAATTCTTTCTGGTTTTATCACTAGTTGTAAAGTACACTAAAGCCATATCTTGGAGATACCGTAGCTTCAGCTCCACACAATAAAGCAAATGCCATGACAAAGTAAGTCACACAAATTTTTTGGTTCCCTGGTGCATATAGTTTACACAATTTTGTGGTCTACTTAAGTGTATAATACATTATATCTAAAAAGGCAATATGCATACATTTGCTTAAAAAATACTTTATCGCTACAAAATGCTAATAATTATCTAAAAACTGGTGCTAATGAATTTGCTTAATGCAAGTTTGTCATCAATCTTCAATTTATAATAAAACACAATATCTGTAAAGCACAACAAAATAATGCATGCTTATATTATTTTCAACTAGAACCTGGAAGGAAACCAGTTTGAAGCTAAAATTCAAGTCTTTGTTCTACATTGTTTTGAAAAAACTAACCTTTCTGATGTTTTTAAATCCTGAGAAAGCAAGCTTTTTAGGAAAAGCAAAAATATTTTTAAGTTACATGATGACTTACTTAAGAGCCCTAAAAATAGTTCTTAAAGAAAACAAGCACCCATAAAGGGTCAAGTCTACTTCTTTACATTTGCTATTTCATCATCCTTTGAGTATCTGGAAAGTTCACTGATACCCAGAAGCACTGGTGAGCCCAGGATAAGTCAATGCTCACAGCCTACCATGCAGATCCGAAGTCACTTCCTCTCAAAAGAATCCAGTCTTGTTACGCAACACAAAAGCAAGGACTGGAAAAACTAAGTCATGCTAGAATAAACCTACACAAGCCGAGGTAAGTGAAATCTTCTGTTTATCACTGCACAAGCTACTGTGATCAATGGGAAAACACACAGCTTTAACACAGATACACTGTTAGGGCAATAAGAATGAGTCTTCTAAGATCATACTTACAAATCTCTCTGAATCTGGTCAATCAGCAAACCGTCAATCTTCTTCTTATTTACAAAATACCAAGCCATTCCACCAAAGTGTCTTGTTGAACGTAAAAGGTCATACTTTCCATGTTTATCTATATCTTCATAGGTCTGGTGGTGAACCTATCCACATAAAATGCAACTCTTCAGAAACAGGAAAATAAAAAGATCTAAGCAGCATTACTCAGTTTACACTGACCAGCATGAGTGCCGCTATCAGAGCACCAGTAAATCCAGGTCTACTTACTGCCTCCACTCTCATTAGCCAATTTGTATAATTTGGACATTCCTGCTAGAACCCAACTCAGGGAGGAAAGAGGATTTTTATTAACAAGAGTTTGCCTAGAAAACAGCAAATCTGTGTCTTTTCCACTACAGGAATGTATGGCAGCCTAGAACAAGTAACACCAGAACTTTACACCCTGTTTAGTTCTGTCTAGCAGCCAAGCACGGATCTCAGATACACAGACTGCTGCAAATAATTGAGCACTCTCTCTTGTCACTGGGAAAAAATAAATCAAGAATATTTTTTTCACTCCTCCTTTTCTCCCTAAGCTGATCAGTTCACCTTCCATTCAGCTCGCCCATTCCTTCTTACTAACGTTCCTCTGGTGAGGGCTTCTTCTATTCAAAAGGCTTTCAGAGCCTGCTGACTGAAGTCTAGCCTAGAATCAAGGGTACCTATGCTGTGGACCCAAGTACCTTTCCAGCTTGATCTTGAACCACTCATATATATATATATATATGCATTGCATGTTCAAGCACCAGATGACTGGGATTCTCAAGTATTCTTGGTTATTTTCTAGCTGTTGCTCATCCTATTCTCTCCACCTGAAGCCCCTCTTCTCACCCACCTCCCCCTGCCACAGAGTTCCATGCCCTCTTAGAACACTCTTTAAGACCCCTATGAAGCTTTCCTGAGCATACTCTGTAGGCTCCAGTGATAAGTACCTGCATACCTACCTAGCAGCCTTCCATACAACCAGTACTGGGCTATAGGCTTTGCCATAGCAAACTCTCTCCTGGCTCATGGCATCACATAAACTACCCACAATAATACCTCACACATAAAAAGTACTAATGGACACATACTGAGTTATAAGACACACTTGGGCAAATTTTAGTAAGTAACTTTACTTCTGTACAATAAATTAAAAAGAAAATAGGCTTTGTTATTTTTGGGGTTCTAATCCTATCTCTTACTTGCAATGCAACTTTCAGCAAGCTACTTTACTCCCCAAGGTGAAATTCCCTCATCTTTAATCAAGGATGGTTCTATGAATAAAATATGGATCTGGCACACATCTGTTCATAATAGATCTTCAGGTATTTACTTTCTCATTCACCTGTATCAAATACAAAACTCACTGTGCTAGATTAAAAATCTTGTTCATAACCATACTTACACCTGTATTTCAGAAGCTATTAAATATACTCACTTTGATATACTCAGTAGAATCTGGCTCAAACTGGGCAACACAGAGATTGAGGACATCAACATGCCGGTCCCTGCTGTACATTGTCTAAAACCACACAGCAGAATTGGAATTAGATGTGAACACCAAAGTTGAGCACTTGTCCTGGTGCCATCACAGGCCTGCCCATCCAAGATAACACAAAATGTGCCATTAAGAGTCATAAAGAGCCCAGACCAGCAGCCAGATGCAGCAGCAATCTGTGCCCTCTCCCGCCCTCCACCAACCCTGGGGTCTCTTTCCCCCTTTCTCCTCCTCTACTCCCCGCTTCCTCCTCCACCATGGGGCGGGGAGGGGGGGCGCCTTGCCTTCCCACCCACCCCTATTGTTCCACCCCCAGCCTATTGTTCCATCCCCGCCCGCTCGCCTTTTCCGCTCCCCTTTTCCCCTCGTTTTTCGCCTGCAGTTTTTGGCTTCACCCCCACCAGTGACCAAAGACTTGACCAAAGTCCAGCTCCTCATAACACTTCTCGACAAGGACACTGGTGTGATTGAAGGTGGATTAAATGTCACTCTCACCATTCAGCTACTTATGCATGGAAAGGAAGTTGGCAGTATCATCGGAAAGAAAGGAGAATCGGTTAAGATATGTGAGGGTAGTGCACGTATCAATATCTCAGAAGGGAATTGTCCTGAGAGAATTATCACTTTGGCTGGACCCACTAATGCCATCTTCAAAGCCTTTGCTATGATCATTGACAAACTGGGAGAGGACATCAGCAGCTCTATGACCAATAGCACAGCTGCCGGTAGACCCCTGGTCACTCTGAGGCTGGTGGTCCCTGCTAGTCAGTGTGGCTCTCTCATTGGAAAAGGTAGTTGCAAGATTAAGGAAATACGAGAAAGCACAGAGGCTCAAGTCCAGGTGGCAGGGGATATGCTCCCCAATTCAACTGAGTGGGCCAACACAATCCATCATTGAGTGTGACAAACAGATCTGCTTGGTCATGTTGGAGACTCTCCCAGTCCCCCTGGAAGGGCGTGACCATCCCGTACTGGCCCAAGCCGTCAAGTTCTCCAGTCATCTTTGCAGGTGGTCAGGACAGGTACAGCACAGGCAGCGACAGTGCGAGCTTTCCCCAAACCACCCCGTCAATGTTTCTCAACCCTGACCTGGAGGGACCACCTCTAGAGGCCTATACTATTCAAGGATAGTATGCCATTCACAGCCAGATATGACCAAGCTGCACCAGTTGGCAATGCAACAGTTTCATTTTCCTATGACTTCATGCATGGCAACACCGGATTCAGTGCAGGTTTAGATGCATCTGCTCAGACTACTTCTCATGAACTCACCATTCCAAATGATTTGATTGGATGCATAACTGGGCGTCAAGGAGTCAAAATCAATGAGATCTGTGAGATATCTGGGGCGCAGATCAAAATTGCGAACCCAGTGGAAGGATCTACTGATAGGCAGGTTACCATCACTGGATCTGCTGCCAACATTAGCCTGGCTCAGTATCTAATCAACGTCAGGCTTTCCTCGGAGACAGGTGGCATGGGGAGCAGCTAGAACAGATTCATCCATAATCCCTTTCTGCTGTTCACCACCACCCATGATCCATCTGGGTAGTTTCTGAACAGTCAGCAATTCCAGGTTTTAAATAGTTTGTAAATTTTCAGTTTCTACATACTTTATCATCCACTCGTGATTTTTTTAAAGTGTTTTAATTCCTTTCTCTATTCAGCTGTTAATGCTAAGATACATATTTAGTTTTATAAGCTTCTCCCTTTTTTGTTGTTTTTTGTTTGTTTTTGGCTCATAATTTTTTCTGTTTGTCATGGAAATGTAAGAGTGGACTATTAATACATTTCAGTTTAGTTCTATAATGTCAGGAATTTTTTTAAAAAATTAAAGATGGACTGGAAAAAAAAAAGAGTCATAAAAAAATAATGGGGCTAATTGTCACACACCTAGATTCAAATCCCAGCTGCACCAATTATAAGAGAAAGAGAGGAAAAAAACCCTAGTCAAGTTATCATTAGACATTTACCTTTGTTTATCCAACACTAAGATACCAAATAGAACTAGAGCCAACTGGTTCAACAAATCATCACCACTGAGTCTACAATATAAAACACAATTTACCTTACCTTAAGGTTTTCTTCCTTGAAAATTAATGGTGGCAAAATTCTGCGACCTTCTTTTGGAAAATAAACTTGTATCATCCGGTCCCGTTCTTCCCAAGAGGCTTTTCGTAGTGTGCCACTTGGTTCTCTGACAACAATAAAACGCTCCTGAATTAGAAAACATGATCAAGGATGAATTGTTTAGGCTTATATTTAGTTCCTATGTCCCACTAAGTCCATTATAAGAACAGTTTGCAATCAGCAATATAAAATGCAGGTTGGAAACATAAAACACAATAGGTACATAGGAGTTCATGATCATTTTAAATTGCAAAGACTTTGGCAAGGTTTGATACTTCCTTTGCTAATCATTGCTGTGCATCTATTAGAAATTTAAAATTTATGAATACCAACTACAGTGGTAACATGGATTCAATACATAAAATGGTTCAAACTAAAACTGATTCAAGATTCATCTAAATCAATTTAGAGATAAAAAAAATGCTAAAAAACCTTTTCAAATTATTTCATTTCCCCATTCCAAAGTTTCATCTAAATAGATTTTAACACTTTATGATCTATGTTAAAAGTCTCTGAGGTAAAAGGAACAAACCCAAGATTGTTAATTGTTAATTCTACACTTCTGTGACTCCTCATATTGGCATTAGATGTATATATATATATATCAGAAAGACTGACTGGTCCATCTGCTTCTGGTCTCTTTACTCTGCCAAGAGGCAAATCCCAAGCCACGGGATCACTTCCTCTGAATTCCACCCATTGTTTGTACCATTCAACTGGCAATTTATGTGTACAAGATTCTTGGCACTTCTCAGATATTACATAACTGGACAAGGGCAGGAAGATGTGTGATGAGTTACAAAGACATACACAGAACTTTGCACATTGCTGGTAACTGATACACACCCAATCAATGTATAAATTAACCAGATGGTACTGACTCTTACAATTCCAGGGGTATAAGAATCTCTGAGGATAAAATAATTAAAACTTTCATCAAATACTGCAAATAGAAAAAAAAATAGCAGATGTCAATATAATAATTTTTCCTCAAAAGAATTTTGGTAATTTGAGTAACCAGAATTAAGTTTCTTTTTTTCAAGTTATTAAAATGTTCCCACAACCAGCAAAATTAAATTGCAAACATAATTAAAATGAAATTTTGTGATTCCCATTCATGTCAGTTGCAGATGGCTGGTGCAGAGACATGCACACAGCTGAAATCTTGTCTTCAAGCCATAATCATATATGATCAAAGAATGAGTAATATGAGGTCATCTTTCAAACTCAGCATTCTGAAGTACTCTAGTGTATTTTGTGGGCTGAACTGAAAGTTATTTTTTTTTTTTTAGTTCTTTACTTATAAGGCCCAAATACAAAATTGATATATTTTTTAAAAATCAGAGTGTTCTTTTAAATTGGCAATCAAGGGAAGAGAAACCAGAAAATAAAAACAGAAGCAGTGATGTCTGAAAATTACCTAAGAAACATCTGTCGCTCTTACTGAAAATGCTGTAAAGTAAAAATCCACTGGGAAGTCTGAGTTTCTTGGCACCATGGAATACGCAGGGTGGAAAAAGGCCTTCTTCTTAAAAGGCTTCAGCAAAGGAGAGCAATACATCTTAGGCCAAAAGCACTTCCTTTTCTCACTGTCCTGTAGGTTTTGCCCACTTGTGGTGTGTGGTGAGTTTCTGTCTATTTACAACTTGTTCTGTCTCAGCAGACCTGATTCTTTGCAGTCAATCTGAAATATACTCAGCCCCCATAATTGGTAGGGAAATGATAACATGGGTTGGTCTGCATTTCTTTCCTTCTTATATTAATTCTTCCAAAAGGTCTCACCTAGTCACAAGAATTCTAGTTTTAAAGCATCAGACAGAACCAGGTCACATCATTCCTCAAACCCATCACCACATAGTATTTCAAAGATCAATTTGCAGTTAGACACATACTCACCCGGTGTGGTATGTTATATGATATATCAGTAAACACATATTTGGCAGTTTCTATTCCTTCCAAGATCTTATCTTCAGCTAACACGTCATTTATTGGTGTTCGTTCTTCCAAAACTGGTGGCATTTTTAATCGCACTTTGGCTGCTTCAATTGCCTTTCTGGTAGCCTAATGAAATAAAATATTTCTTAAGGAAAGACACAAGATTACAGACCAAAGGATGATCTGACAAAAGTAGAAACTAATAAAGAAAAAGACTAACGTCTGCAAAGAAAAAAAGCTATAGCAATGACATAGTGAGTAAAAAGCCAAACTTGGATTCATGGGCCCTGCCTTTTCCTGCGGTGTGACCAGACAGGCGCGTCCATAGGCTTAGCAATTATCACACCAGCAAAAGAGTGGTGAGACAACACCAGGCTATAAAAGCTTCTTGATTCAGAGGAGGCATTTATCGGGTGCTTACTATGCGTCAGATATTGTTCAAACAGGCTTAATATATTTGGTTCACTTAATGCCCACACTTTCCTGTTATCTAAGTGCTACTGTTACCTCCATTTCATGGAAAAGAAAACAGATGCTAAGTAAACTGTTAGAAAGTTGTGGCACTGAGATTTGAACCCAGGAAATTCAACTTCAGAGCCCACACTCTTAACCCCTGACAACACCGCTTTTTGCCACATTATTAAAGTGGATACCTCTGAGAGAAAAACAGGGGACTTTCACTGTACACAAAATATACTACTACTGGATATTTTAATTTCTTGCGACTATAAGCTACTTTTAAATGAGAAAGAAAAGCTTTACTGCTTCACATAGTCATACATCAAAGTGTATTTCACAAAGGTCTCAGTACCCATGGCTCCAGGAGGACACTGGTGCCTGGAGTAGGATGCTGCTCAGCAGGATCTCATAATTTCACCAAAGCTTCAGCCCCAAGGCAGCTCACAGCAGATGTTTCTCCAGGAAGGAAGCTGGAGCAGGCAGGAAAAAGGAAGGATACTCAGGCTGGTTTGGAGCAGAGAGGAGCCTCTGCTTGGAAACCCAGACCTGGCCCATATGCCCAGTCTGTTCACTTTTGGCCACACTCCCACCTCCTCTCTACCTGCCTACTCATAATTCTTTTCCCAATTTTGTGCCTGGTACCTGCTCACTGGTGCCTGTGGAAGAACAGTTATAAGAGTTTGTGGGGGCCTCTGGAAATCTTGTTTAATCCCTTAATGAAAGATATCCTACTAACATTCCTATGTTCACATACCTCTTCCAACTGTGCCTGGGTCATTAGCTTATAAGTTGGTGGTTTCAGCTCTTGTACAGCTGGCTTAAAAATCTTCTCCAAATTCAAGCCCGTCATCTTGATGAGGATACTTTGGACTTCCTCATCCATAAATGTAGGTTTCTTCATCTCTGAGCTACGAGATTCTGCTAAAATGGATTTCAGTACATAAGAAGCCAGCAAAAATGACAGGCCAACAAGACCTCTCAATAGAAAAGTTAACAAAAAAAACCCCATTAGTACAACATCTATCCCAGCAGTGCATAATACCTCTGAGATTCTTTCATTCATTCAAAATTTACTGAACATTTACTATGGTAAGGATGTGAATATAGACAAAATCTGCCAAAAAGACATTCTAATATTGGGAACAACAGGAAAAAAATTAATGTTATATTAACAGTAGTAATGGTTGCTACCATATCCAGATTTGTCTTTTTCGAGGGCTTTTTTCCTTGTCAATGAATGGAACCTAGGGCCTCATGCACACTGGGCAAGGACTCTACTGCTGAGTTATATTCCTGGCCCTCAAATTTGTCTCCTAAAAGCCAGGCACAACATACATTTTTAGGAATGCTTACAACCCACAAAATAGGTATTGATATCCTTTTTTTTTTAAATAAATGAATATCCTAATGCTAACCCAAAGACAACTAGCTATTAAGTGACATGACCAGGATTTACCAACATCTGTCTGATACCAGAGTCCAGTAACTTCCCATTTAAATTCAACTCTGCCTCATGCAGTTCACCTTTCCCTTTGCCTCAGTTCTTTTTCCATTTCCACAAGAAAAAGGAAAGAAAAAGCCATTTGTTCCCAGTCACTTCTTCGTCTGCTACTCCTAGTAGGGTTGGTTTTCTGAACTCTGAACTGTCCTTTTCTCCTTTCTCACATTCTCACTGAATGATCTCCTACATTCCTGTGACTTTAATCACACTTACACTCTAAAATCTGAAATCTCCAGCCAAGATCATCTTCCACCCATCTACTCAATGGATATCTCACATGCACTTCAATACTGCCAAATCAGAACTCATCAACTTCCTTATTCCAAACCTGATTTTCCTACTTTTTCCTATCTCAGCACCATTCATGAAATCAACCAAGCCAGAAACCTAAATCACTCCCGGATTCTCCCTTGTGTACCACATTCAGCCAAGAGCAGCAGTAAAAATAACAGTAATAATAACCACTAACATTTATTAAATATTCACTATGTACCAATACTTACTGAGCTAAGTACTTTAGATATTTAGCACATTTAATCCTCACAACAATCCTATGAGGTAAATATTATAATTATCTCCATTTTACAAAAAAGAACATTGATACAAACATGACCTGCTATATCCCAAAATCTTTCTGTAATCCTCCATTTCCCCCTATCATCCGCTGCCTCCTTTCTAGCCTCACTGAAAAACATTCTCTCCAGAGATTACTTAAGAGAAATCTCTTAAAAATGTAATCAAGATGACTGTCAAGTTTAAAATTCACCTGTGACTTCCAACATCACTCAGGAAAAAAGTTAAGGTGGTTTGCTTATTTCACTGTGTGCCCCTCTAGATGATGAGCTTTCTGAAGAACAAAGCTGTCTTTTGCTCACCTCTGGCAGGCACAGTCCCTTAAGAATGTCTAACACACATAGACGCTCAGCACTACTCTCTCCTCAATCTTACCCACTCATCCAACTTTAGTTACCATTTTACTTTGATGTTCCTAGCTATATACTTAACCCTTGAATCTCTAAGGCATCTCAAATTTAATACGTCTAAAACAAATTTAATTCCACCTTCCTTCCCATTTCCTCAACTCATTTATACGTGCATTGCCGCCCCCGCCCAAAACAGAAACATCCTACAATTAATATTCTCCATCTTGGTATAAATTTTTTTTCAAAACTTTTTTTTTTTTTTTTAGTTGTTGATGGACTTTTACTTTACTTACTTGTATGCAGTGCTGAGAATCGAACCCAGTGCCTCACACATGCTAGTCAAGCGTTCTTCTGCCACTGAACTCCAGCTCCAGCCCATCTTGGTATAAATTTAACTGCTCAAGCCAGAAACTTGAGAAACAACTTTTCATTTTAAACCTAGATCCTAAAGCCACAATCAAGTCTTATCAACCCTACCTCCCAAGTGAGTTCCCAAAATACATGTTCAATCCCTTCTCTAGACTTTGCTTATGCTGTCCCTCTGCTGGGAAGGCTTCTCTCCTCCTTAGCATGGCTGGCGGGCCAGGTGTCCGCTTTGGTAGTGCTCTCCAGGGACTCATCCCTGCCCTCTCATCTAGTTTGAATGCCTCACTGTGGGCGTCCTTATCACAGCCCGGGTCACAGAGCACTCACTGCCAATTCCCCGCTGGGCTGGGATCCTCAGGGGAGCGTCCTTGACAGCCTTAGCTTACTCTATGCCATAAGCTTAGCAGCGCGCTTTGCACGGAGCCGGGCTCAGGCACGGCGGGCTGCGTAAATAAGCCTGGGAGGCTGATGACAAACCCGGCAAAGAATTACGAAAGCCGACTCCGGCTGAGAATGCACTGAGGGAAGACTCGCAGGGGCCGCCGCCGTTCTAGGCCTCCCAGGAGAAGCCCTAGCAGACGTCTGGCGGGTCACTTACCGGCCTCGGAGCTGAGCCAGCGGCACAACAGCCTCACCGCGGAAGGCTGAGGCAGCGGCTGGAGCGGAGTATCGGGCTGGGGCTGGGTTCGGGCTCGGAAACAGACCCGTTCGGCTCCCCGAGAACCTGTCAGAAGCCTCCCGAAAGGAACAGAGATTCTGAGGGTCGCCATGATTATTGGAGGCTGCCTGCGCCGGAAGCAACTGTGATAAACTTCCGGTTCGCGCTCAGTGGATGAGGCATTCTGGGAAATGTAGTCTGGTTAGAAACGGAGAGCATCAGAAGCTTTCTGGGCATTTATAGATTATTTTATGACTCTCCCTACGCGTGTAGCCAAAGTTCAGACTTACACTATTTTCGCTATGTGCTCGATTTCCTGGGTGCTTTATTTTTTCCATGGTTCTAAATAACAAATTTACGCTTTCTGCCCAAATCTTTTCTCCCATCTTTAGCTGCCTTCCAGAAGGACTTCTCCATTGGAACTCTCTGCAAACACCCGATCCTGAGCCTTGATTATCACTACCAGCAACTACAAAAACAACCTGTTCATACACTTTACTGCTATCCCATAACTACTCCTTTCCTTCAGAGCTTTTTCACAATTCTTGATTATTTTACTCATTTATCTGCTTGGTTATTTTTCTCATCCCAGTTAACCTAAAATTAGATAGGCAGTCAGTGTAGATAGGTAAATCCAATCAGGCCAAATCGAGGAGGCCAATTTTGAGTGAGTCTGGGAAGCTGAAGATTGTCCTCTGAGTGATTGAAAGGTTAATTCCTTCAGAGCCCTTCCTCCATCCTTATCAAGAATCTGCCCCTGCTCCAACCTATTGCTAAGGTGACCCGTCCCAGGTTGCCCCTCCCTAAAGGGAGCTATAGGTTGTTAATTAATGTGTCCTGGGATGCTCCATCCTGCCCTTCACCCTTCAGCCTACCTGTTTCCCAGCTTTTGGACATCCCACCCAGCATTCCTGGGCCTACTCACCTATGCAGGAAGGAGAAAGATAAGGGGAAGAGAGCAGGAGAACAATAGGAAGCCTAGGACATAAGAAAAGGGCAGAACATCTCACTTCCGGGGATACCAGAATACCAGCTATGGCCACCTTCTCCCTCCTGGAAGAAATCTACATTACCCTTTTAAAAATAAACCCTGCTTTAAATGCTTGCCTTGGTATGCTTCTCTAATGTTCAAACTTCAAACTTCAACACTAGTTCAACACAAATAGAACTCCTCACCGATAACCAGCAGTATGGCCATGAAGACAGTGACTGTACATATTTTATTGTAATATCCCCTAACCTAGGCCATCTATGTGCACAGCAAATGTTTGTTGAATGAATGAATCTGTAATGTTCCTTCCCAACTGTCAGGCTGTGCAGGTCTTATCCTTCCCTAGGCTATAGTCTGTGCTTAGTGTAAAGCAGAAAAGGGCACGCAAGGCCAGGAACTATGGAACAAGAATAAGGCACCAAAAGGAGTTTTATTGGTGGGGATGGGGAAGGCGCTTGGGGGGGGGGGGCAGGGAAGTCACACATGCTCCAGGCAAGAACAATATCTTTATAGGTCACTAGAGGTAGGAAGGCCCAGGCCAACTAAATTGTTACTACCCTTAGTGGGTTACAACCTTAGTGGGTTGGCCGAGTGGAATTTAGGGACTGAGTTTAAGGGCCTGGTGTCTTCAGCCAGGTGAAAAGTCCCCACCCATGGCCACCAAGGGATGGGGAGGGGGAGAGTAAGGGAAAGTTGTGGGTGGACATCCCCACCTCTTTGATGTTGCAGGGCACCGGTTTCATCTGGCTACTTCCTGCTGGGGGGGTGGTTGTCTAGGGAAGGTCGGAGTTGGAGGCTCATTGGGAAGATGGCTATAGGGGTGGAGGAGCATCTGATTTACTGCCACCGTGAGACTTTGCTGATACAGTTTCGGATAAAGCTGAGGAGTCAAGGAGCAACCATTAGCAAGACACAGATCATGAGGATGGGACCAACAATTGAACCCAACCAAGCAGCAAGGGCTGAGTTCCATCATCCTGGGAGGAGTGAGGTGGACTGCTGCTGCCTTCGCTTCGTCAGTTCTTCACTCGGCCAATGTAGCACATCGATGGCCAGTCTCGTTGATGTAATACAACATTCTTCCCTAAGGAATAAACAGGTACCACTATTGTCAGCGGTGAGTAGGTCTAGGGACAGCCTGTCTTGGAGAGTGACCTGTGCAAGTGATGTTATTTGTCTTTGGAGAGATGCCAGGGAGTTGGCAGAGGCTTCAACCGCTAGCTGTAATTTTTCTTCAAGCTCTTTAGTTGTGGTTAAATTATAGCCTGATGCCCAGGCCCCAATGCCTGAGGCGGCCAGGGACAAGGCAAGGGAAATGCCTATGATCACTGGAAGAAAGGCAGCCCATTTAGATCTAGTGGGTGGAGGCTCAAAGAGGGAAACTAGCCTATCCATAGAGGAACTAGTTGAGGAACTAGGGTGACAGGGGTGCAGAAAGGAGTGGCAGCAGAGGAGTGGATGACTTTCGTCAACCTCTTATTATTGGGAGGACATCATAATAGTCTCGTTGTATCTGGAGATGGTTTGGGAGACATAGCAGATGGAAAAATTTTGCTGCTGCTGCAGGGGATTGTCAAAGGGGGATCCCCATCAGAGGCAGAGAGGCATTACCCCCTTGAGAGATGTTAAGGGGAAAGTTCAGAGGGACTGCCGTTAAGTGGGGCAGGGGGCTATCCAGAGCAGCACACAGAAAACAATCAGAAATATTATTGACCCTAGAGTAGTTCAGGAGTTGTAACCCCTGATGTACAAGGGCCAGCCATGAAAATGGGTCCCCCTTCTCTGCCTCGTGTGCCCCTGGCTGGTGACAGAGGGCAGTTTCTTTCTGGAAGATTTCTTAGTGGAGCTAAGGAAATACTCAGGTGTAAGTGTGGAAAATCTTAACAGTTCCAGAGGAAGAACTGTCCCAGGGCCAGATGTACAACTTTCCCTCGACTCCTGCTGCCCAGCGATTGTCCCAGGGATCTCTGATGTTCGGGTAAGTCCTACCTCCAGAATAGGTATATAGGAATTGGGTTTGGGTGTTCTCTCTGAGCTTGTGCATGTTGCAGGAGGTGTGAGAGCATCCTCCATATATATATATATCTGGTTGGGACTTGCAATACCACTTGGTTTAAAGGAGGGGCATGGCCAGAAAGACTGAGGCCAGTTAATAGAATAGAAACAGTTGTTTGGCAATCAGAAGGTTGGCAATCACCGGTTCCTAATATCCAGGTCTTACCATCCCAGGTCCCCTGTGCCTGGAAATGCCAGTGGTAGGGATTAGGCAGCGTCAGATTAGGCATCACCGTTCGGGTCAGGGCACCTATAGAAACAGACTCAAGAGGAAAAGAAGCAGGAGGCCCACAGATGATCTGGAGTTGAGCACGTCCAACTGGCCATTTTCTTTGGGAAGGAGGGTGTTTGTCTATCCCCATGACTGAGATCTGGGAGGGATATAAAGGCCCAGAGTGGTCAGGCAAGACAGAATAGGTAGCCCCCGTGTCCACAGGAATGTAATGGAGTTACCCACTACCTAGTGTGTTACCCTGGGCTTGACGAGGATTATAAGGGTCCTAAGTCACGGCTACTTCAGTCATCAGCCAGTCCCAGAAGCTCAAGAGAAGGAACTACCTGCCTGGCCATACTCCCATGATGAGGCACCAGGGAGGGACCGGCCAGGGGACAGTCGCTCTTCCAATGTCCCAGCTGCTTGCAGCCGGGGCCCAGCCAAAAGGGGGACCATGGGTTGGGCACTGGCAGGCCTAGTGGCCTTCTTGTCCTCATTTGAAGCAGGCCCCAGGTGAGGCAGACTCCTGAGCACCCCTGGGAGCCCCAGCAGGGGCCGGGGCTGGCCGCAGAGTTGCTACCAGGACTTGTGTCTGGAGCGCCACCTTTTTCTGTGAGCGGGCCTGCCAGCTGAGTTCAGCTGTTTCCCCAAAGGCACTGTAAACTTTAAAGGCCATTTTCACCAGATTTCTGATAGGGGCTTGGGGATCATCCTCAGCTTGCTTTAACTTTTTTCTAATATTGAGGGCTGACTGGGTGATAAAATGGTGGCCAGAACGGTCATCCCAGAGGGAGATTCAGGGTCTATTCTATTATAGAGAGCAAGGGCTTCCGTTAAGCCATTAAGGAACATTGCAGGATTCTCATCAGGGCCCTGAGGGACTTCTCTCAGTTTAAGGTTTAACAACCTTATTAGAAACTGCTTGCGTGCCTGCCAGCAGACATTGTATCATCTGGGCACAGTGGCATCGGCCCTGTCCATTTTGAGAATCCCAATCAGGATTAGTGTCGGGGACTGTGGCCGCTCCTGTAGGCATGACGTCATCGGTCAAACAAACCTGGACTGCATGGTTCCGTGCAGCTACCTGGACTTAAGTGTGTTCATCTGGAGTAAGTGTGGAGGTAAGGATGACATGGACATCATGCCAAGTAAGGTCATGGGCTTGAGAAAGGTATTTAAATTATTTGATGTAGGTAGTAGGGTCAACAGAAAAGGAGCCTCATCATTTTTCGATTTGGGAGAGGTCTTGTAAAGAAAAAGGGACATGAACTTGAACGATGCCCTCAGATCCTGCCACCTCACAGAGACGACAGAGAAGTTCAGGGTCTTGGGTCATTTGGTGAGACCTGGTAGGGGCACTGACTGGGGAAGAGACAGGGGAGGGAGGGTGGAGCCGGTTCCAGATAAGGAGGAGGATCAGGATGGGTGGATCTGGAGGGTGGTGAGGAGAGTATCTCAGGAGGTTCAGTAAGCGGAGAGGGGTCAGGGTCAGGAGCAGAGGGGGACTTGGAAGGAGGAGTTTCTTTAGCAAGAAGGACTTG